ATATACTTCATAGCACTTTATTGGTTAAGTTCTTATTTCTTAAACTATGTTTCCATAAATCCCTGGGTGTCCACTGTAATTCTCTCCTATGGTACAAGAAAAAAATACTTATATTTTCGTCTGAATGGTGCCTGCATAAATACAGATAAACATTTTGAGAAGTAGTGGTCAGTATTAAGATAATAAAAGACTAAACAGTTTAAATGCATCAACTTCACTAAACAGATTTCCTTCCACAGATGACTCCCCTACTGTCTGCTGCCAAGTGTCATTTCTACCGAAGTGGTTAATCATTCTAAATGATCTGCAACATCGGAGTTTCCCTTGAATTTAACTTAATCCTTCCCTGGACCTTCTGTTAGTAAAAGTAGGGGAATAAAAGTTACCTGGGTTCTTAGTCACCCCCCCCAAAAAATAATGAATTTCTAACAAGAGATACATAGCGTTATATAAACAGAAGATTTTATTAGTGAAGTAAAAAGGTGGTGAAATAGAGTACACCCTGAGAATTGGGAGCAGGCCAATCCAAGAGAGGGAAAAAAAATGGCGCCACTCCTTTGTGTTTCCTGTTTTTATATCCTTTGTGTTTCCTGTTTTTATATCCTGGCTTAGGGGGCGATTTCGTGATTGGTTACTGATGGTTTACGTTCTCTAAGCGCTCAGGCTGACTGACAGCATGCACTCCTCATGCTCAGGCACAGGCACACCCATCTCTTTTACGCGTGTTTTCACCCATGATGCACACATGAAGAATTATGTTTAAAGGACATCCCAAGATGATAACTGTGCACTAGATGTGGAAACAGAGCAGAGGGCTTCAGGTGACATTTCTTTAAGCAAATGAAATTGACAGACTACCTGATGCATCTAAAACTCTTTATGTGTTTTGGACAAAGTCTCAGGAGGATGAGCTTCTTTGGCAATGTGTGGTGAATGCTGTGTTTGAGCAAAGTCCATTTTCCACATTCTTTGCCCTTGTTCCCAAAACATTAATGCAGAAGAAAGAAGGACGGGGAAAGCTACATCCTCCAGTGGCACCATCGTCTCTGCTACTTTCATTTACAAAGGATTCCATAGAGTCTCCTTGCTTAGCTTGGAACTAGAGAAAATGGACAGCCTATATTCAGTTAGAAACAAACATAAAATCACCAGAAGATAGATCTCATGGGGCTTCCTTATGCTATGAAGCAAACTTCAATTGATCTTTCCCTTAGCAGCTCATTCCCAGGATATGGTACACTTTGGGGAGCGAGCATCTTCCATAGCAACAAGAAAGACAAAATGATGCAATTGGTCCAGGGAGCTTTTAGCTAATTGATGAAGCTGCTGAATATGTGTTACAGTGGAGTCTTCCATGTTTTCTTTTTGGAAGAAAATACCGAATAAAATTAAATGACGATTGAAAATTCTGACCTGTTTTTGTG